TTCTGTCATCTGGTACCACTGAGAACAGTCTAGAGCCATCCTATTTGGAACCCACTTTCAGATAGTTGAAAGAAGCTATCAAATCCCCCCTCTTTCTTCTCTTCTGCAGACTAAATAATCCCAGTTCCCTCAGTCTCTCCTCATAAGTCATGTGCTCCAGCCCCCTAATCATTTTTGTTTCTCTCTGCTGGACTCTTTCCAGTTTTTCCATATCCTTCTTCTAGTGTGGGACCAAAAACTGGACACAGTATTCCAGATGAGGCCTCACCAATGCCGAATAGAGGGGAATGATCACGTCCTCTCTGTACTCCTTTGGATTCCCCTTTGGACTCCTTCTAAATTCTGTCCCAATAAAGAGATTACTTCTAGCTGACTCGACCTGATATTTGCCTTCAGATTCTCTCTCTATGAGGAAATTTCTTCCAGCTTCTGGTCTAGTATTTAAAAGGACAATACTATTAATAAGGCAGCTATCTCTACTATAAATGGATGGGGTGGGAATCACTGCATTTCCTCTAGAGTGTGGAAGGAGAACTGCAGTAGCACACTTCTACCAATATCCCAGTATTAAAATATTTTTAATGGATAAAAAAACATGTTCCCCATTGGATCTTGGATACAAGTGAGTCAAAAAAGAGAGATTAAGTATGGCTGGCAAAGAAAGGAATTTACACAGTAACTTTAAACCATTAATTTGCAATCAGTCAGGATTTGAGACTATCTCTGTTCAAAACTCAGTTTACAAGAAAATAATTTAGTTTCTATCTAATCAACGATGTTCAAAAACTTTTTGTGCTTCAGTCAGTCACCTACAGGGGTCAGAAGGGAATTTTTCACCTGATTCACCATAGTAAACTGGGGAAGGGGTGGGAACAGTTTTGGATTCCTCTGAAGTATCAGAAATAAGATGCTGCTAGAGATAGGCTAGTGGTTGAGTGGCTGGTGTAGTGAGGTGCTATTGAGGCTGTATTTTAAAAATATGGAAGGTATATTTTGATTACATGCTGAGGCTCCCACTGATTCCCAGATTCAGGGTGAGAAAGCAGTCTTCTGCTAGATCATATTGACAGGCACTATTGGCAGGGGGAGGAGGTTGCGTTCCTTTGCATGTGGCCTTGTTTGCCTGCTGGGATCATGTCAGTGTGTCCTTTCCAATTGTTCTCTCCTTTAGCAGGGGACTCAAGTGTTTGTGAGCCTTTGATGTCTCCTGCTAACTGCCTCTGGCACACAGTCAGAGGAGGATTAAGATTTTTTGGGGTACTGGGCACAAAGAAACAAATATTTGCCCCTGTGAGATCCTGCCCCTGGTCCTCCCCTTCCCCTCCTCCCAAGACCCTACTTCCATCCTGGACAGCTCTGGAGAACCTTGTATCCTCCACCTGCCCTAGGTGGCACGCACTGTTGGGGGACAGGGACATGGGCTGAGGGCTTCTCTCATGCACTCCGTTACCCAACCCAGAGCAAGTGGAGGGTACAGAGCTACTCACAGCTGCTTGGGTTCTCTGGGTGGCTCTTTCCATTTGGCTGGGACAGTACCCTTTTTAAGACCTGCACAAGATGTGCTGACTTTTTTGGCAAAACTGGGAATTTGTCCCATTTGCTCTTGCCAACTTATGATCAGTTTTGCCAAAAATGCACTTGGGGGGGGGGGTGACCAGTGGCTCTTGGGATGGGAGAGCAGCAGGACTTGGATAAGTCCCCTGCAGAGGAAGAGGGGGATCAGTGGAATGTCTCATGCTAGCTTCGCAAAGAGCGGAGGAGAGGGGCAAGGGGCCAGTTTACGTGGAAGGGGGAAGAGGGGCTCGGGCGAGCTCTGAGTAGGGGGGCCACGGGGAATGTGCTCACCAGGCCCTGGCTTCCAGCCTGACCAGGGAGTGGGGCCTCAGGGGGAAGAGGAGGAGCAGCAGGCGCTGCTTCAGGGGCCCCCAAATTAGCCAAGGCCTCTAGGCATAGGCCTTGTGGGCCTGTGCAGTAATCCGCCACTGCACACAGCATTTTGGCCCTTTGGTGTCTCCTGTTATCTGCCTCTGGCACACAGCAGTTTACTATCCTGCAGACTAAAGTACTTTAGTTTAACTGAAGCCATTGGTCACAACATTTGGGTGAAATATATGGGCTGTGCTGTGCAGGAGGTCAAGCTTCATTGTGCAATTCTTTCTGGCCTTTCACCCTGCAAATATGAACAGGTGTTCCCTTCTCAGTGTCTTTATGATGCCTAAGGAAGGGTGGAAAGTTAT